TTTAGTTTGAAAAATCACTGACTAAATATATTTTAATTTTAATTAAAATAAATTTTATCAAAAATCTTTTCTAAATGTAATTATTTTTTTGTAAATGTAAGTACTTTTTTGTTATATTTGTTTAATTTTATAGATCTAAATCATTTTTTATTCAAAAAATGTTTAGGGACTTAATCGTTCAAAATATGAATGTTCATTAGGTTTTTTTTTGGACTTTTTTCACTATTTTACCACATTAACTAGTTGTACAAGTCATAAGAATGTATCCAACATGTTTTAGAAAAGTCCAAAAAGTTATTTAACATGTTTTGGATTGTCCAATGACTTATTTGTTCCAAAAAATTGTCCAATGAGTTATTTAACATGTTTTAAATTGTCCAATGAGTTATTTAACATGTTTTTGAATGTCCAATGACTTATTTGTTCCAAAAAATTGTCCAAAAACTTAATCATTCTAAACACTAAAGTCCATTGGGTTTTTTAGACTTTTCCTTTTTTTTAAGTATTTGTCATCATCTTATGTCTGATTTTGTAAGAGGTAGAGTGATTCAAATTATTTAAATATTTTCAATTTTTAGAGTCATTTATGTCTTACTGTTCTCTTATCTGATGAAAGGTAAACTAACATTTTATTTACCTCTTATTGATTTTTTCAGACCTTTTACAACGGACATTTCTTAATCAATCATCTCTCAATCAATTAATCTTAACTGATCTTTACCCAATCGATCCTTTCTCTCGATTGATCCTTACCCGATCCGATTTCAAATTGGATGGTTTGCCGCTCCTAATATCAATAATTTAAAATATGAAATATGTGACGCGTATAAACGAGTCCACATTTGAAGTTTAAAATGATGATGAATAAACAGATAAAATTGTATAAATGTATATAAGCTCAATATTATAATATTGAATGGTAAAATAGGCAATTATATACATTCAGACATCTATCATTTTACAAAAACAAACAGTCATATTGATTTTGTTTTCAGACTTTATACACCTCTTATAAATCACAAATGAAACAAGACTTCAAACTTTAACATATATTAAAAAAAATAAACAACATCTTAATACCTTTTATTTTATGTTGTACGGTAAAATGTGTTCATATCTCAAAATAAATGTGATATCTGGTTTCACATAAAATAACAAAACATTCTTCTAAATTAAAATTAATATTATAAATGGTTTTTTTAATTATACGTATGATGACAGTTGTTAAACAGTATTAGAAGTATACTTACATAGGACAACGCGATACATCTTGATTCTGAAGCCTATAATTTGAAATTCTATCATAATTCATGTTTCGTTTTATTTTATGTCGTTTTTAACTTTTTTTATTTTATATGTGTAGTTTTGAGATTATAAAAGAATGTTCTGTTTATTATTACTTTTATGCAATATTTTGCTTATCAATTAAGTATCAGATAATTTTATGTAGTCCAAAGGTAGAGCTCTGAAAAGTTTTATGTATGCAGTGATAAATTGTAAACTTAAATTTTAAAATATTTTAAGAATATGATATAAATGTTTTTATAATATTAGAATAGTACTCACGCAATGCAGCGAGATACATCTCGATTTTAATGTTCTATTTTATTATTTGCATCTGTCGATGTTATAATACGAATAATGATTTTCTTTTAAATAAAATATAAATTTGAATTAAATATATCAAATCAACTATTTAAAAGTTTTCATTTTTATGTAATTTCTTCAATTTATTTTTTATTATAATTTAATTTAAGCTTAATAATGAAATAATCAAATCAACTGTTTAAAAGTTTCATTTTTTATGTAATTTAATTTAAGCTTAATAATGAAATAATTTATTTTTGGTTTAATAATATAATTTTTAAAGAGATAATAATTAAGTATTTTGTTATAACTCAATGATTATCCTAATTATATTTTAGATTTTTTATATTTAAAATGAGATGTTTATYTTGTATTTGATTATGTTTATCTGCAGTTAGTTACACGAATTCACATATGAAGCTTTGATAAGTTGTACTTACGCACAATCTACTTGTAATCTTGAGTTTTAAGTAATATGCATTAATAAATAGTAATTTATGCATAAAAAATGGTTTTTAAAAGTTTTTATCAAATGCTTTATAATATAGTATAGATAATCAAATATATATCAAAAAATGGAAAAACATATACATATATATTGTATATACACACGATATGAGTACGGAATTAAAAAGAATAAAATCCCATTTTTTTATATAATTAAAAAATTAATTATATTTTAGATAACTAGATCTTAAAAAAATAAGACAAAGTTTCCAAAACTTCATCTTTATATATAGGAAAGGTGACATGCATTTACAAAAACACTTAATTTGTATGTATTATTAGTTTATACTTAATGTTTTAATAAGGACAAATTACATGAATAAATAACGTATTTCAACTTGATTTATATTTTTGGTAACGTACTTTTAAGATGTAAAGTTTTAAACATTTAAGTATCCGGGTAATCGGTTGAACCATTAACCGATTATTATGTTGATGTGGTACCCAACTCAGTATTATTTGCTATTCAACCCAATTTCATCCTATCACTCGCCACATCAGCATGGTAACCGGTTAATTTTTTAATCGGTTATTCAGGTACTTAAATGTTTAAAATTTTACATCTTAGGTACTTAAATGTTTAAAATTTTATATTTTAAGTAGCAAAATGAAAGTTTTGAAAGTATGTACCCTAAAATATGAATCAAGTTAATGTACTTTACTTTTTTCATACAATTTAACCTTTTAATAATTGTATTTTTGAAAAAGCTAAAAACAAAAAACTTAAATTCTTTATTTATATAACATAGTTTCGAAATAGTTACTTTCATTTGAGTCCACATATAATAGACTTAGAATTTATGAATATAGGTGTTTAGTTAGAAACTTTAAGCAGTAATCAAAATTAAAAATTAAAAAAATATATACGTGTTTGGTTTTTTTAGCACCTCTAATATAATATGTTCATTTTTTCAGAAGTCTAAATTTTTATTTCAGATTAAACTGTAGGAATAAAAATTCAATCGCATTTTTATTTCATATTATTTTAATTTCCACTTATATTTTCATTCTTCAAGCTGACCCAAATAAGCATAGAATATCACAACTAACAAAAATCACGAAATAAAAAAGAAATAAAAATATATATGAAGATTAGAAATGAGCCATTAACCAAAATGCGTGTTTTGAATGAAGCCCACAAAAGGAAACAAGCCTACCCATCATCAAAGCAAGCCCAAATGCTCGGGAGAATAGACCTCTATAAGTATAAGAGAAAGCGTCCATTAAGTTATATTAGGCTTATGTTTGCCAAAACAATGCCTTAATGAATAAGCCAATTATCAAATTGGTATAACTTGGTTGGTAGTTTTCTACATCTTTTTATACATTTAACCACACATCTTCCTAAACTGCCCTTT